AGTGTTAGTGGGGAAGTGAAACACAAAATCTGATTTGATAAAGTCAATTTACCAACGTCAAAAATTGACTTATCAACTCAGTCGATAAAACCAACTTTTTTAAAAAAGTATTCTATAATTTAGTAATTTGTTGGGTAGATCCGAGAAAAGCTGCATGAAATAAGAGCACTTGGGTGCTAGTACCGTGCAAGGCGCCCAAGAACACTTGATTCTAATACAAACACACCCTTTTTTAAGTACCCTGGAGAGACTTTGGACACGGTGCCAGTGCCCAATTACAAGGTCGAGACAATGTACTCGAGCACTTAAGTGAGCACAAGGCTCCAGCGTGCTCACGTATTTTGTCTGCAGTTCCAAGGCAACCCACTGCTTTACGTAATCATTAGACTTACTCGCGCGTCGCTCACGTTTTCGCGACTTCGTCTGGCGGTCTGCCGAGCGGGAGGTCGTGGGTTCAAACCCCGGCTGGACCAACACTCAGGTCTTAAAATAACTGAGGAGAATTTGCTGCCTTTGTTGTAACATCTACAAATGGTTAGACGTTCTGGTCTTCTTGGAAATGGACAAAACTCCGTAGGCTCCGCCGTCTTACAACTCTTTCTCTTTCACTGTCCTGATTCTTGTGGGACGTAAAAGAACCCACACTGCTGTTCGTAAAGAGTCGGGGGCGTCGACCCCGGTACAACCTTTATGGGCTGGGTGGGTAATGAAGGGGTTAATAGAGGAGCCTATTAATTGCAGGGACGTACGTCCTGTTTCATCCCCCGTCACCGTGTTGAGTCACCGTGGCGAATTTATTAGTAGTCGACCTGTGGACAAGTCTGCACGTACCCGTAGAATGCCGTGCATTTTTAAACTGTTTTTGTCATTAGTGAAGTACGTTCTATTTGGGCGTGTGTTTTGAAGCTTTGATTTCACTCGTAACACTCAAACGAACTTTAAACACAGCAAGTGCAACACAATAGTTGGTTCTGTTATATGCGGGTTAGAGTTAAGGAAAGAAGCAAACATGGAAGGAAAAAGAACAACGAAAAAACAACAACAGTTGATTTTGTTATCAGCAGTGTCACTGCCGATTATGACATTATTAAGTGTCTCATTTTTTAAAAGAATTATTAAGTAGCCAGAAGATAGCAGTTATTTCTTGATCTACTGTTCATAAGTTACCAACTGGTAGATTTCTGTGGTGTAGTTTGATAAATTATTGTTTTATTCAAAAATTTCCAACAACTTCTTCAATGAAAATACCTCATTGGTTCAAGGATAAAGGACCGAGATAAAAGAGATGAGGATTCATTTGTCACATTTTTTGGAACAACAATAGCATTATTTTCAACAAAATAATGTAGGTAACCCTGTCGAATAATTACCCTATTAGTCATGTTTCAAGTTCAAATAACTAGAGTACAAAATGAAAACCTTCAGATACCAGCCTGTATGACCTTGACCCAAGTTCCACCTGCTGCACAGGCTAACAGATGGCCTAACAGATGTACAGAATCAGTCACTGTAAGCCCATCCTTTTAACATACAATGTAAACAATTATAAAGTATGTCAGGGTTGTTTAATTTGTCATAGGTATGTCAGTGTTGTTAAACTTTACACCCTGTACATAATTCCTCTAGTTATCTAACAAGGCTTTTTGTAAAATTTAACTAAGAACAAAGATATCATTGTGTTTCCTGCCCTTGCCCT